GGTTTAGAGTTCAGCATTTAGGTTTGGGGATTTAGGGTTTGGGATTTAGGGTTTAGGGTTTAGGGTTTAGGGTTTAGGGTTTAGGACCTGGGCTGCATGGGTAGAGGTAAGTAATTCCCTTAATGCTGCTGCATCTTTATCTTTTTGCTGCTGCATTGTTGCTATTTCTTCTGCATGCTTTTTCTTCATTGCTGCTTCTGCTGCTGCTGCAGCAGCAGCAGCAGCAGCATCAGCAGCAGCAGCAGCAGCAGCTAGTGCCTCCTTCTTCTCCTCCTCAAATTTCTCCCTCTGTTGCTGCAGCTGCTGCTCATGACTTGCTGCTGCTGCTCTGCTGCTCGCCTCTCCTGCAGCAAGTGCTGTCTTTAGGTCTGTTAGCTGCTGATGCAGCTCCTCTTGCTGCAGCAGCAGCAACAACAACAACAACAGCAGCAGCAACAGCAGCAACACGAACAGATGCAGCAGCAGCAGCAGCAGCAGCAGCAGCAGCAGCAGCACAACCGCAGCAACTACAGCAGCACAACCACAGCAGCTACAGCACCCCAACCACAGCAGCACAACCGCAGCAGCAGCAGCGGCAGTAACAACAGCAGCAGGAGCAGGAGGAGCAGCAACAGCAGATAAATTACCTGATTCTTTGTATTATAAATATCCTGATTAAGTTGTTGAATAAATGTATCTTTTTCTTCTATTTGCTGCTGCAGCAATTTTAATTTAAATAATAAACTTTGCTCAATTTGCCATGATTCTCTGCTTTCTTTCTCGTGTCTTCCTTTGCTGCTTATTAATTCCTTCTCTAATGCTGCTGCTCTTGCTGCTTCTTGCTGCAGTTGCTGCTGCATACTCCTTGCACGACGAATACTATCCTATTCATTTATTATATACATATTTATACACACACAAAAAAAAAAAATTAAAAAATTAGGGTTTAGGGTTTAGGGTTTAGGGTTTAGGGTTTGGGTTCCTATTACTTAATATTCAACATACAAAACACAAACAGACAACAGAGTGTACGATTTGTTGCAGCTGCAGCAGCACCAGCAGCAACAGCAACAGCAGCAGGGGTACCTCTTCTGTTTGTCTTGTTTTCTGCTCTGCTTCTTCCTTGCTGCGGGTAAGAGCAGCAATATCTGCTGCTGCTGCCCTGAGGGTTTCTTCCTTTTGCTGCAGTTGCTGCAGCAAACCCTCCTCTGCTGCTGCTTTATCCAATAACTTCCTGTAAGCAAACCCTAAACCCTAAACCCTAAACCCTAACGTTATAAACCCTAAGACTCACGTTAGCTCCCCAAGGTAAAGGAAACAGGCACGAGTAGAAGCTCAAGCTTTTTTCAAGGGTTTAGGGTTTAGGGTTTAGGGTTTAGGGTTTAGGGTTTACAGACTTTTCGAGTTCTTGTACCAAAGAAGATTTCTCTTTCTTTTCTTTCTCCAACATTTCTATTTGTTCATGGAGCTGCGCATGCAGGTAGTCCTCAACAATATTAGGGTTTAGGGTTTAGGGTTTAGGGTTTAGGGTTTAGGGTTTGGAGGTACCTGACGAAGTGCTGCTGCTGCAGTTGCATCTTTTTCTGCTGCCTCCCGACGAGCAGAGAGAAGCACTTCTTCTACTCTCCCTTTTGCGCTGCTCTCCTGCATACCGTAAACCCTAAACCCTAAACCCTAAACCCTAAACCCTAAACCCTAATTCCTTATCCGAAACCCCAGCAGCAGCCCATAGATTCAAACCCTAAACCCTCAAACTCTAAACCCTAATTGTCGTTAGTTGCAAACATAAAACCCTGGGGGTTTAGGGTTGAAAGGCATAAACCCTAATAGAACGGTAACCCTAACTATAAACCCTGATTATAAACCCTAAACCCTAATTATCTGACCGTTTCCCTGAGTTTATTAATAAAATCTTCGTTTGCTTTTTGTGCATTTTCTTCTGCAAGTTTTGCCTTTTGTAGCTGAAAAATAAATACAGATTGAAGGGTTTAGGGTTTAGGGTTTAGGGTTTAGAGTTGAAGGTTAAGGGTTTGAGCTCCTTGTTGTAGGGTTTATGATTTAGGGTTTAGGGTTTATTGTTCATGGTTGAGTGTGTGTATTGTAATCTTCTGAATATTATATGAACCATCAAATTTTAGGGTTTAGGGTTTAGGGTTTAGGGTTTAGGGTTTAGGGTTTAGGGTTTACTAATTGTTGTAAGATATCTCTTTGTTTCTCTGATTCTTGCAATTGTTGTTCCTTATAAGAAATAATTGCCTTTAATTTTTCTTCTGTTTCTTTTTGTCTTTCTGCATAATTTATTGTTGTTTCTTCTAATAAACCTAAATATACATAAACCCTAAACCCTAAACCCTAAACCCTAAACCCTAAATAACGTTCAAGTGGTCTTGGGCATCAGGAAACATCATTTAGGGTTTAGGGGTTTGCCTTAACCCCAAGAATATCCTAAACCCTACCAAACCCTACCAAACCCTACCAAACCCTAAACCCTAAACCCTAAACCCTTGGGGTTATATATATT